AGTTTGACTGGTGGACAGATGTCTGGTCGAAGAGAAAAGGTGATGTGGTTTGATTTGGTTGTATTTACTTTAATTTTCCATTCGGTAAACCATTTTTCTAAAAGATTGAGGTGGTGTTGGAGTTTGAAATTTGTTATTAAGGGAACAGCGTCTGATGCTAATATGCTTGTATCGTCAGCAAAAGTATTGTAAAGTTAGATGTAGGTATATCAGCTGTGTATATTAAGTATAAAAGGGGGGATAGGTCACTGCCTTGGGGAACTCCGGCGTTTATAGTGAAATGGTTAGAAAGTGTGTTGTTTATATTTACTTGGAAAGAACGTTGGTCTAGGTAAGATTTTAATATTAAGTAGTATGGTGTTGGGAAGTTTGATTTTAGCTTGTGGAGTAACCCTTCGTGCCATACCTTATCGAAAGCTTGGGCTATGTCTAAAAAGACACCTGAACAGTATTTTTTTTGTTCAAGAGATGAGGAGATAGCATCGGTGATACGATGGAGTGGGTGTATTGTAGAGTGATTTGCACGGAATCCGAATTGAGAGTGGGGGATGATGTTTTTTATTTCTGAAATATTTTGAAGACGTTTTAATAGTAGTTTTTCAAATAGTTTTCCCAAGGTAGGGAGGAGGCTGATTGGACGGTAAGAAGAAGTTAAATTTTTAGGTTTACCTGGTTTCGGCACTACTATGATTGTTGATAGTTTCCAAAGTGGGGGGAAATGAGAAAGTCTGAGCATGGCATTGAAGATATGGACTATGTTTAGGATAGATTTGCTGGTTAGCTGTTTTAAGATGTTATTTGTTATAAGGTCGTAACCTGGAGCTTTACNCGGTTAGTTGTTTTAAGATGTTATTTGTTATAAAGTCGTAACCTGGAGCTTTACCGTTCTTTAGTTTGCCAATTGCATATTTGACTTCATTTGGAGAAAAGTGTTTGGGGGGCAGTGTCATTGGTAGGGGGCTATCTAGTGATTTGTTGATTTTGTTTATATGGTTGGTAGAGGGGTTTATGTTGTTGGGTTTAAATACTTCATATAGGTATTCAGCAAATGAATTAGATTTGTCTATGTCAGATACTGCTAATTGGTTGATGTTTAGTTTTATTGGCGGTATTAGTTCTCTATGTTTTAATATACTTTTTGTTTTACGCCAGAGAGAGCAGTTAGATGTTTGGAGTTTGATGATATTATTTTCGTAGCGTTCTGTGTTGATTTTGTAGAATTCTTTTTTTAGTTTGTTTGAAATAATGTTGAGTGCATTTTTGTCGGCAGGGTGACGAGTTGATTGCCATCTCGCTCTGGCTCTCCTTTTTTTTGCTAGCATTTCTTTTAGAACTATTGGGATGTTGTTGGATTTGTTAGGATATTTAGAGGGGGATGAAGAAACAGTTACTGAGTCTTGAATATTGGAAGTTAATTGGATTACAGCATTGTCAATGTCATGTTTGGTTTTTAGAGGAATATTAAGGCTAGTTTTGCTGTCTAGGACGAATTTAAATTTTTTCCAGGATATTGGACCATTTATGAGGCTTGGTTTGTTGTTGAGAAGGGGGGCTGAGTTTAAAGAAAGTAATACAGCTGTGTGGTCAGAACAAAGTTCGTTTATATTTGAAATAGAATAGTGAATGGTTGGAGAAAATTTAGTTATAAAAAAATCAAGTATGTCAGGGTTTCTGTTTTGGTGGGTTGGCCAGTAAGTTGGGTACGCTGGTGATACAATGCGAAGGTTAGAGTTGATTATGGTTTTATATAGTACACGAACACGGGAGTCAGTAGTGTTATTTCCCCAACATGGGTGTTTAGAGTTAAAATCGCCTCCTATGATGCAGTTATTGTCAATAGATGATAAAAATTTGTTTAGGATGTTTTCGTTAAACGGATTTGCAGGAGGAAAATATGCAGCTACAATGGTAGTGTTTATATTGTTAATTTTTAGTTGGATGTTTGAGCTCTGAATAGATTGGTTAGAAGTAGGAGGACTAATATTGAATTTGATTTTATTACGGATAAAAATTGCTGAACCACCATGTGCAGTTCCATCAGGATGGTCAGTGCGAATGGTGGAGTAGTTCGGGAAAAATATAGTTTTGTTTGGAGTAAGGTGGGTTTCGGTGATAAGTGCAATGTCGATGTTTCTGGAGTTTATACATAGGGATAAATCGTGGTAATGGTTTTGAACTCCATTAGCATTCCAAAGAAGGATTGAGAGAGGTGATTTGTTTGGTTGGATAGAATTCATTTATTTAGTAGGGAGTCGATGACTTTGGTGAGTAGGGAGATAAGAGGGTTTATTAAGTTTTTGAACTCATTTAAGAAATGGGAAAGATGGGTTGAGATAGAATCATTATAGTTATTTGAAAGAGGTTCATTGTTAATATGATTTGAATTGGGGTTTGAGTAAGTGTTATGTTTAAACTTATTGTGGGGCTGTGAGGTAGCCCATTGGGTTTTTAAAGGGGGAAAATTTTTCTCTTGATTGAAGTTGGTATTGATTTCAGGAGACGGATCGTTGGGGTGGATTTCCGTTGACTTGTAGATTTTCGATGATTTACGTAAATTTTTCAATAGTTTGTATTTAGGGCATCCTTTATATGAGGCCGGGTGTGGTCCTCCACAGAGAGCGCAAGTTGGTGGTGAAGAGTTATCTTTGGAACATTCGTTAGAGTTGTGGGTGTCTCCGCATTTAACACAGCGAGGTGTATGATGACAATAAGTTCTGGTATGGCCGTAATTTTGGCATCTTAGACATTGGACTGGAGTTTTTTTTAGGTGGGGTGCTTCAACTTTTATTTTGGTGTAGCAAATTGAGTCGATTTTGTAAATACTTTGATTTGTTGGAGATGGTTCTAAATCAATAAAAAATATGGGGAGTGGATTTTTGGTTTTATACTGCAGGCAGTTTGTAATTGACCGAACAGAGAAACCAAGAGCTTGAAGCTCATCTTTGATGAATTTAATTGGTGTAGTATGGTGAAGGTGTCGAATAACTACTCTGAAAGCTTTGTCGACGCTAAGTTGAAAAGTGTGGTAGTTTATATTATTTATTTCTAATAAATAAATAAATAGTTCTAATAAATAGTTTTATAACTTGTCTATACGCATTGATAGTGTATGTCAATAATTTGATACTGTTAGATGTGCTTTTTGTTGTAAAACCTTCAGGTTCAGTGAGAGGTTTTATTTTTTTACAAAAATCAAAGAAGTCAATTGTGCTTTTTATGTAAATGGGTGGAATTTTGTTTACTTCTTTTGGGTTATCTTGTGTTTTCATTTCGATATCATTTTCCTCTGGGTGGTCATTTGTGGTAAGAGCTGAGTAACGGTTTGGACTTGAGAAGGAATTTGTTTTTTGTATTTTTGATTTTGGGGAATGACATGGTGAGCTAATAGGAACAGTTTTCCATACAGAGTCGTCGTTAGATGAGTTTTTAATAATCTTGATCGGTGTTATCGTTTTGTTGGAGTTATTAATGTTAGAAGAATTAATCGATTGTGAACGTGAAGGTAATGATGATCCGCTGGCCGAACTCATGGTTCAGTAGTCGGACGGGTTTTTGTTGTTTGTTTGATGTAGTTTATAACGGTGGGTAGGTAATGTAGATAAAAATAATCATATTACCTGAATTTTTTCAATCGGCACAGTTGGCGATAAGCTTAATGATATAGATAAGGCTGGTCGCTGTTGCACTGTACGACTACTCACTACGAGTACACACGTAAAAGTGATTTAATATTTCTAATAATTTTTTTAAACAATACAATCCATTTATTCAGTGGCGTACATAATAGTCCCACCTCATTAGTTATTTTATATCTAATAATTATAATAAGAAATGCATGACTTTGTCATTAGTAAAAGATGATCGGAAAAAAAATTTTTTTCGGAAATTTTTTTACAAATTCCTTATCATCCTTATCATTGAAAATTTCAACATACGCCACTACTTTTAATATTATAAAATTTTATAACTCTTTGAATTTTTGTATGTAGGAAATATTGTTTATGGAATATATTAACAGGATTAACAATTCATAATCAATCTAAAAAAATAATGCAATACATCAAAGAAATAGAGACTTGGATTTTACGTTTATTGAGTGTACCAGTACCAATACCAAGCAAAACAAAATTAGAAGTACTTTGAAATTTTTATATGATTTTATATTAAAATAATATATTTAAAAACTTCTTATTTTAATGTTAATAGTATTCACATTTAATTTTTTAATTTATAAAATCTTTAGTGACACCTTCTAAATTGTTCATATATATATATGTAAAAAAAAACCTAGAAAATTGTCTAATACATCAGACAATGACAATCCATGCATGCTCAATGTTGAAAATTGGAAAATAAGGGTAGTTTTTTGGTTATATAAATATAATTCGTAAATTAAATTTTTTTTTTATAAATTAAGTACTTAAAACTTTTTTGATAAATTCATCAATTTGTTTCGACAAATTACACAGTACATAGAATTTTTACGATTTTGCATAATAGAAATATTTATAGATCTTTTGTGATATTCGACGTGTACTTAGAGTTACAAACAGATAATATACCATGATTAACTTCCGTATTTTTAAAATCCTTGATATTTTCATAAACTAATATATAAGTTAATGAAAAACTGTCAGATGTAATGTTGTTAATAGTTTTTTATGATGCTTACTTATTTTTTTTATTGCTAACATGACGAGTTTTAGAATTAAAATTATACCAGTAATCGCTCTTGAAGCACTATTCTGCTGTAAATCTTTGACGATCTTAGTATTTTCTTCCGTTCAACACATTCTAAGATTTCAAATATATATATGACTGTGGATAGTAATTATATTATCATTTATAATTATAAATTTATTGGTAAAAAATTAATAGTTAGTGGGTTACATGTATATGTCTGATGTATTAAAAAATTTTCTTAGTTCATTTTTACATATATATGAACATTTTTAGAAGGTGAGACAAAAAATTTTCATAAAAATTGTTTTTATTTATTACTATTTACTACACTAGTCAAGTGTTTAAAATATTTACAAACAAAACAACTATTATCATTAACTTAAAACATTGAATCAATATATTAATTTGTTATTGTAACTTAAGGTCTATATTGAAATTATTTTTTTGTTTCATTAAGTATACATTAGTTACATAGGTTAGAGACGTATTTACTGAGGACTTAAAGAGATATATGCTTCTTCTTCTTGGTTATTAACAGCCACTAGAACTATCGCGTGAAACAACTAATCCTCCAAGTCTCTCTGTCAGCTGTTTTTGTTTTCCAATCTGAGCCTCCATTCTACGTCTCTTTACCACGTCTTTCCATCTTAAACGGGGTCGTCCAAGAGGCCTTTTCCCTTCTGGATCCTCTGTCAATACCATGTGCAGTAGTGGATTCTGACTACGTCAGGCGTGTCTGCCCACTGTAACTTTCTACTCTGGATTATATTTAATATGTTTGAACGATGAAAGAAGTCCCCTAATTCTTTGTTTTTTCTTATTCTCCATCCGTCAGTTTCTGACGTCAGATCTGTCAGATCTTTTACTGGATCAAAGATCTTTCTTAGGATTTTCCTCTCCAGAATAATCAATTTATTTGTTCCGTTTTTCTTAATTCCCATGTTTTTGCTCCGTATGTAATTATAGAGCATAATAGTGTAATACACAATTGTATCTTTATTTCTCTCGGCAGGGACCGTGATCCTAGGATCATTGTGAGTCCGTAAAGACATCTGTTTCCCGACAGGATTCTTGTTTATATTCTTTTTTAGTTTCATTTTTTTCAGTCAGTTGCTAATTGTTAATCAAACAATCAGCACGTATGTTTCGGTCTCGCTCTCGTGAAACCTGTGTGTTATTGTTATTAAATTTTATATGTGCGTATAATGCAAACCACGGACTTATGGACGTTGGTAAGTGTTTTTAATAGATTTTTTTTTAATTAAGTGGGTCACAATAGTGGCATCAAATTACATTGTGTATAATACAACTATATTATACAAATGGATACATACGGAAATGTCTCCACAGCGCAAGAAAAAAATATAACTGTCAGCTATGATATTTGGACACAAATAAATACTGACATTGAAAATTTTAAAAAAATAATAGCAGAACTTCAAGAAAGTAACGAAAAATTAAAATGTCAAATAAGTCAAATTAAAGGGAATGTGGAAATTAACACAAGTTCACCAAAAAAAATCCTTAAAGTAACAAAAGAAGTGGCGAGAACTTCTACTAAAATCTACAAACCTCCACCTATTACAGCATGTGGGGTCAATGATATTAAAAAATTCATTGATAATCTAGCAATCGAAGAGGCTTCTGGTCATGAGCAACAACTTAAAACCTTAGCCAACGGTGATATAAAGATTTTAACGGGAGACGAACATCAATTTCGCCGTACTGTTAAAATTTTAGAAGAGCAAAAAATTGAATACCATAGGTACCAACTTAAATCTGAAAAAATGTTTAGGGTAGTAATCCGGGGATTACACCCTGAAACTGACATATGTGATATAAAGCGTGATCTTTCAGACCAAGGACACTTGGCCAATCATGTATCAAATATACAAATTAAAAAAAAAGTTGACTCTAAAAATAAAAATAGTGACTGGACATTTATTCGTCTACCATTATTTTTTGTTGATCTAGAGCCTCAAGATAATAATAAAGACATATACCAGTTAAAAAAGCTTAGTCACCAAATTATTAAAGTGGAGCCACCAAAGAAAACAAATGGAGTTCCACAGTGCAAGAACTGCCAATTATTTGGACACACTTTAAATTATTGTCACAAATCTCCTAATTGCGTAAAATGCGGAGAAAAACACAGGTCAATTGATTGCACAAAATCCAAAAAGACCAAATCAAAATGTGCCAATTGTGGAGAAAATCATACCGCAAATTGGAAAGGCTGCGCTGCGTATAAAAAAGCAGTTGAAATTTCTCACCCAAAAAAAACTACAGCAGTTCAAAGACTACAAAGTAAACTAGCGAAATCTGTTACAACCAGCATATCATACGCTGAAATGGCTGGTTCATCAGTCCAAAACTTAAAGATACCCCAAACTTTCGAACAAAAAAATCATGTGAAAAATGAGGAAGTACCCTTTGTGGAAGTTATAAATTCCTTAGCTAGTATTACTCAAACATTAGCAATGCTAACTGAAAGATTAGACAGGTTAGAAAACAACCAACCTAAACCTAAAAACAAGCGTAAAAATAATAAAAAATGACCCGTACCATACGGTTTATTGCATGGAACGCTAATGGGCTAGTACAGCGAAAACTTGAATTAGAAAACCTTCTACATCATGAAAATATAGATATTGCTCTTATCTCTGAAATTCACTTTACATCCTGGACTTTTTTTAAAATAAAAAATTATATTACATATACCACCATTCATCCAACCAACAGAGCACGTGGAGGTACAGCTATAATTATTAAAGAGTCTATTAAGCACTATGAGCTAGATAAGTTCTCGGAAAATCATTTACAAGCAACAAGTGTACGAATAAACGACGGGGCCAATGACCTCACTGTCACAGCCATATACTGTCCACCACAAGGAGGTGCTAATGAAGTTAATCTTTTCGAATTTTTTCAGACTCTAGGCGATAGGTTTATTGTCGGAGGAGACTGGAACGCTAAACATAAACATTGGGGCTCGAGATTAAACTCCCCTAAAGGTAATTCTTTGTTTAAAGTAATAAATAGCTTAAACGCGATAACTGTCTCTACAAGAGAGCCAACTTATTGGCCTTCTGACGTTAACAAAATTCCTGATCTACTAGACTTTTACGTGATGAAAGGTATTTCCTCTAATTATGTAAAAGTTGAAGGACTCAATGAGTTAACATCGGATCATACACCCGTACTACTCACTCAAAGCACAAACGTTATTATGAAACAAAAAAAAGTATTTTTAACGACTAAGAAAACTAACTGGGATTTATTCAGAACGTTACTTGAAAATTCACTTTCGCTTTCCGTTAAACTTCAAACATCCAGTGACATTGACTTGGCAGTTCATAATTTTACCAATAATATAATTAACTCAGTGAAAACTGCAACACCTAAGGCTGCAGTAGAAAGAATACGAGAGATCACCTACCCAATAGAAATCAGAGAGTTGGTACAACAAAAGAGAAAAGCTAGGAGAACGTGGCATAGAACGAGACATCCTACTGACAAAAAAAAGTGGAACCACATCAGTCGGTTACTCCACAACAAAATAAAAGAAATGAAAAACGAAACTTTTAAAACTTACTTGAGCGAACTTTCTGCAACCCAAGATACTGACTACTCTCTGTGGAAAGCTACTAAACGACTAAAAAGGCCTTTAACACACGTGCCACCTATTCGCAAAGAAGACGGCACGTGGGCACGAAGTGAATATGAAAAAGCTGAAGTATATGCATGTTACTTAGAGACTGTATTTAAACCTAATAATATAGTCTCAGAACTTGACGGACTCTATAGTTTACAATTAGATAGAAATCGGGAGAAAATAAAATATTTTTCACCATTAGAAGTGGCGCAAGAAATTGATAACAACATCAATGTAAAAAAAGCACCAGGTTACGATGAAATCAGCCCGAGAATGATAAAAGAATTGCCTAAGAAGGCGATTATTTATCTTACATACATCTTCAATGCAATTTTACGAACTGAATACGTTCCAAAACTATGGAAAAAAGCTCAGGTCATAATGTTACTAAAACCAGGTAAACCACCAGATCAGGTAACATCTTACCGGCCAATATCACTCTTACCTTGTTTATCTAAGCTTTTTGAAAAAGTTCTTCTTAAAAGGATAAAACCATTGATTGAAGAAAAGCAACTTTTACCTGACCACCAATTTGGTTTCCGCAATAAGCACTCTACAATTGATCAAGTTCACCGAGTTACCAATGTTATTAACCAGGCTCTTGAAGAGAAAAAGTACTGTTGTGCAGTTTTCTTAGACGTTGCGCAGGCGTTTGATAAAGTTTGGCATGAAGGACTATTTATAAAATTAAGAGAACAACTACCACACACTTGGTGCGCGTTATTAGAATCTTACTTGACTGAACGAGAGTTTCGGGTAATGCATGAGCAAGCTGTTACAGATTGGAAAACTATAACAGCAGGAGTACCACAAGGTAGTGTTTTAGGACCTATTTTGTATTTACTTTATACTGCTGACATTCCATCAACCAATGATACGACAACTGCCATGTTCGCTGATGATACGGCTGTATTAGCAACCAGTTATAGTCAACAGTCTGCAACTGGTAAATTACAAAACTCGATCAATAATATCTTCTTATGGACAAGACGTTGGAAAATTAAAATCAATAGTGACAAATCAGTACATGTCAATTATACACTTCGTAATACCAATAATATTCCTATCAAAATGAATCATCAAATTATCCCACAAAAAGATTCGGCTAAATACCTAGGAATGCACTTAGACTCACGTCTTAATTGGAAACACCATGTACGCCAGAAAAGTTTGCAAATAAAACTAAAAATGAAAAAGTTATACTGGTTGATCGGGAAACATTCCGAACTTTCATTAAATAACAAACGTCTACTTTACGTAGCTATCATAAAACCAATTTGGACTTACGGTATACAACTGTGGGGTTGTACTAGTAAGTCTAATATTGATGTTATTCAACGATGCCAAAATGTTGCACTCCGTACCATCGTTTCAGCTTATCGGTACGATAGAAATGACATTATACACCGTGATTTGATTTTGCCTACAGTAGCAGAAGAAATTAAGAGATTTGCTCGCAAACATGAGGTGAGATTAACGAACCACATTAACACAGCAGCCATCCAACTTTTGGACAACTCCGAAGACATCAGGCGTCTTAAACGTCATAAACCATATGACTTAATTTAAAATATTTAGTTTTAACTTAGGTTAAGGAGCCACCTCGCTGGAGGTGTCACTCCACACATGTTTATTCTTTATTAATTGTTATAAAACTATGTTTCATATACAATTATTGTAAAATATATTTATAAAGATAATTTTATCGTTTAAATAATAAAGCCATTTGGTAGTTTGTAAAAAAAAAAAAAATTTTTTTCAGTAAATACCGAACCTAAGTATTGAAATTGTTTGACTCAATTGAATTTACGGTTACCCACTCTTAAGGAAGGATATATTCGCGTACTATCTCTTCTCCCCACTACCATGTATTCGGTTTTGCCTTTGTTTATTTATAAGCCAGCCATTTTCGCTGCTTCCTCCTAGGGCCGAATAGTGTCCTCAGGCCATCGTGTAATTTATCCATGAGGACCAAATCGTCTGTATATGCCAATAATGCCATGGAAGACTCTTGAAGTGACACTTCTTCTTGGGGTTTGATATTAGTTTCCCTTATAACATTTTCTAATAATTAAATATAACGGCTGACATGGAATCCCCCTATCTTAGGTCTGATTTCACTATTATTGGGTCGGTTTCAGCTTCCCCTACTCTTATTTTAATGGATGTTTCCACAATGCTTGTTTCGATTATGTTTACTAAATTTTGTGGAAAGTTATACTCTCTAAGAATATTTATTAAGTTTTTGCGATAGATACTGTCGTATGCCTTTTAAAAATCGATAATGCGTACATGCATTTTCTTGTCGAATTCCCAAGTCTTTTTAAATAGTTGTCGGAGAATAAATATTTGGTCCACCTTAGATCTTCCTAGTCCAAAGACTCTTTGATAATCGAAAAATTTACTTGACAAAACGCAATTCGTAAAAACTTTATAAGCAACGTTTAGAAAGACAATTCCGCAAAAATTTTTGCATTCTTGTTTATCTCCTTTCTTATTAACTGGACATAGCAATGATATTTTCCAATCTTCCGGTAACTTTTCGATTGTCCATATTTGGTTAATCGATTTCCACAACCTAAGTGTCATTTCTTCTTCTCCTTCTTTGAGAAGTGCTTCATGAATTTTATCCTCGCCAGGTGATTTATGATTTTTTAAGATATTGAAATCTTATCTCTTCCAGTGAGGTTCTAGCCATTCTTGGTCTTCTCAAGTTTCTAAGTTAAAGCTAAAGACTTCACCAGGGTTTTCACAATTAAGCAGATTATAAAAATAATCTCCCCAATTTTTAGCTAATTCTTCATTTGTAGTTTTCAATGATCCATCGTCATCCTTTAGGAATCTTTCTCTCTTCTTATATACAACTGTAAGATTGTTTATACGTTTGTACATATCTCTAGTCCTATGCGCATTGTAGTCTACTTCCGTGTTATCGATTACATTTCGGACATATTTCTACTTTTCACTTTTTAGGATATTACTTTTTTCCCTTAACCGAGTTTAGTACTATGCGAATAGATCTTCGTTACTCGTATCGTTTAACTACTTTTGTCTTACCAAATTTCTTCTCTGCAACGCTTCATTGCAAATTCTGTTGAACCAAGGCTTCGAATTTAGCTTTTTTTTTTTCTTAAGTTTTGTTAGCTGCGTTGCTTATAACATCTTTAATTTGTTCCCAATCCTCATCAACATTTCCATCGACCATTATTTGCTTACTTTGTTACTGTTTTTAAATTCTTTGCCTATATCTTGTTTATCCAATTTGTCTATGACAAGTCTCCTTGAGTTTGCTGGACTGTGTTTACTAAGTTTTTTGAGTATAAATTTTTTTTATTTACTTATTTTGAAAAAAAATTCGTTAATACGTCTTAGTGAATGTTTTTTTTAACTTTGGTTCAAATAATGATGGCTTTAATAATATTTCCACAATTAATATTAATTTATCCCAAAAATGTTAGCATAAAATATTTTTATAATAAATACAATTTTAACTAGGTCTATTTATTTTCACAAAATGAACGACGACCGCCTTTAGTATTTTCTCTGCCCGATCACACAAGATTTTCACTTATTGATTTTCCACTTCATTTACCTTTTGAATTACTTGGAATAGATATCTGTCTAGAAGTACTGACAATAATACTTCTAGAAAATAAGGTAAGTACATACAGTTACATAATGTGAATGAATAACTTCATGATAATATGGTAAATCATAGGTTGTCTTTCAATCAAGGGATTACAACGCGCTATCAATGTCTATTATGGCTCTTATAAGTCTGCTGTATCCATTACAATACATGTTTACTGTCATTCCATTATTACCGAATAGCTTGCAAAAATCAGAAATGGTAAAAATATTACAATTTTATTTAATTGTAACTAAAAATATTATGATTTTTTTTTCAAATTAGCTCTTTGAAAGTCCAGTGCCTTATGTTGTTGGTGTCCCATGCAGTTTTTTTCAAACTAAAAAAAATTTTAAGTTAGTTAATTTTATAAATATTACTACAAAAAATCATGAAATACTTAAATTAATATTTATGAAGATAATATTTTATTTAGATTTCCTAAAGATGTATGGATTGTCGATTTGGATTCAACAAAAATTACTCCTCCAACTGCAAATATTCGAGAGGAAGTAACGATTCCTGAATTTCCGAGTATTGAAGCAAATATACTAAAGAATAAATTAAAAATTGTAATTTTTTATTTTTATTACTGACACTATTTTAAACATTTATGATGCGTTTATCTAGGCATTAAGTGAACTGACTTTTATGAATAGTAAACCGACAAATTATTTCTTGGATAATGGCGTTACTGCTTCATCACATCCTGTTACAGAAATTTTGAAACCTGACGATAATCAATTTAAAGCAACGAACTACAATAATCAAAAGACTAATTTTAGAGATACAAACCTAGATAATATTTCATTTGATAGGTAAATTAAAACCTATACATAAGTTAATTTTTATTTTAAAGACTTACTTGATTTTATTGAATATAAATTTTTTATTCTAAATTACATTACACTTGAACTGAGACAGGAGTACTGATATTTTAGGTCTTAGATTATTTTTATTTTTTTTTAGTGTATTAAACAAATTGTATATTACCAATTACAAAAGATGTTGTTTTATTTAATTTAATATATATTAAAAAATAAATTCCATTTTAATGAATTAAAAAATGTAACCAAAACAATGCAAAATAAAACACTTAACTTCTCACAAATATTGAAATTATTTTTCGGAAACATGTACTATATAACATGTGATTTACGTATAACAAAAAAAAAAATAAGTCATTCTTATTATAAGGCATATAAATATAAGATGGTTGATTTTTCGTCGACTTCTAGATTTCTTCTATAATAATAATAGTTTTGAGAAAATTTTATTTTAGCTCATTTGACTAATATTTGTTTTTTTATTAAAACGGTAAAATATTTTTCAAGGTTTATCTTTTATTTCTAAAAGGATACAAACTCTATTTTATTAATGGCAATATGCATATTTTGCGGCATGGTGTGGCACGATGGTCACACTAGTTGTGACCATCGTGTGACAAAACTCCTGTATTAAGCCACGCCAACCGCCGTAGGTGAACGGATGGGTGACCATGCATGCGCTTCTACGGTAGCGAAAAAGCACTATGTTCCCAGTACAGAAGGCAACGGGAAACCACTGCACTTAAATTTCCCCAAGATATACCAATGGTATTAACCAAACTAACGGTTGTAAAAAAAAAAAAAATTGCATATTTTACAAGCTTAAATATTACAAAACTAAACGAACAATTACTTGTTGATACCAAATTTTGAACCAATATTTTAGAAGTTATAAACATTTTTATGTATTAATAAGCGAAGATGGCGGCAGAGTGATGCATAATGATAAAAATAACATAACACACTTCTTAAAAAACTTTAATAAAATAAATATTTTATGTAAAAAATATATAGTTAGTACCCTTATAAGGAATAAGGGATAGCCTTAAATAATATTTCATTGCTTATAAATAAAGAAACAAATTATAAAAAATGAATGTGTTAAAGTTTTCATGGATTGTCGTATTGCTTGAAATGTTTACGGATGTATCCACGTTTTCAGTTATGAGCTGATGTTTCACATCAGAAATATTTAGCGGGCATTTAGATAATAGATTTTTAAATATTGTGTGAAATTAGTTAGAGGTCAATATGTTAAATTTAACATGACAACGTTTTTTATAAAAAGAATAAACCACAACAATTTGTTCTGTAATTGGTTTTATTTATGTTATTAAGACAATACCCAATTTTTAAAAGAATTAAATATTGAGAATAACAGTATACCTGAATAAGAACACACTTTATTATTTGGCATAAAATACTTTTATTCATAGTGATTGATAAAAGTATAATGTCCCGCATCGTAAAATGACGATCAAATCATTTTTTAATATTTAAGCTAGTAAATTTGTATAGTTTATACCCTTATAAAGGATAAAGGTTAGACTTAAAAAATATTTAACCACATATTAATTGAGAAATAAATAATAATAAACAAAACCAAAAAGAATTTCTCAAAATTATGGTCATTTTGGAAGAAAATTAGCAATCAATAATACTATTAAATCATCTTCTATATATATATTTAAGTTTTTTATTTTTTTAGAAGAAATTCATCTTCCGATTTTCAAAATACAAGTCGCAATTCTATTTATAGTACTAAAGATATTGACTCCGTCGATGTTGCGATAAGAGTAGCCATGGTACAATTTTTATTGTCTGGTGACATGTTAGCTAATTTAACTGAACATTCGAGAACTTTAAGATTATATCCACGACCTGTAGTTTTCTTTCAAATTAATTCGTTTTTAAAAAGTCGAACAAATCCATCAAAATTTATTTGTCAACTTGCTCGTACTCAAGCAGTTGATTATTTTGCTGAATGGACATTAACACCCAGCAATGTAGTTTTTCAAAGAATACAAACTGGTGTTGAAGACCCAACTATGATCGGGGACAAGTCAAAATGGTACTCTAGTACACTTGATACAATTGCCTTCCAAGTATGGCAAGTTAACTGTTCAATTACAAAAGCTATTAATTCGAGTTTACGATCTAGCATTCCATCTTATACATTAAACACTGGTAAGATAATTTCAAGTTCAGTTTTTATAATACTGTTATAAAAATCAAAATATTGTTATTGTTTTAAGTAGAAGAAAAGCATCAGTCATGTAACAGTGATGATAGTGAATCAAATAGTAGCAGCGAAGAAAAATGTTTTGACCATCGCCAAAATAACGATGTCTTAGAAAAAACATTAAAAGACAAAGGTATTTTAAAATAATAGTCTGCTAATCATTTTAAGTATTATTAAACTTTAAATGTCATCGCCTCGAAATAAAAAGTTCCTACGAAATTTAATAAAACTTTCATTTAAATTATTTTGTTTGTTTAATGTTTAGCATTAAAATGTTTAATTGAGAAGCCATTATTTTTACTTTATCGTTTTTTTCGTGTCAGTATTCGCTATTACTCCCCCCAATTGGATAGATTTTGCTTAAAGATACGTCAAAAAATCAAATAAAGTTTCTAGTTGAAACTATCAGTGCCTTAGTTTTGAAAAAAATTTTTCAGTTCCGGTAACAACGAGAAATATCTTAAAAAAATACAGCTCTTACAATCAATTTGAAAACTGGACGAGTTTTTCGACATTTTTATTGATACACATTAATGAAAGGATATAAGTCTCTATTTTAGACAGTCCATATTGCTGCTTGCCGCTGCACATTGATTAATAGCCTACATCACATTTTTCTGTCAACTTAGATTTGAAAGGAAAGTCTTGCCAGATTTTTCATATCCTTTTTGACTATTAGGCCATACTCGTGTATCCCGACACATCAGAGTTTTGTTTATGAAAAGTCCAAGATAAGACATGGAAGATATTAGTTAAATATATGTCCCCGATACAGTAACTGTAGAAGACTAAACTTGTAGTGTTCAAAATTTCGCGTGAAAAATTATCTATATCTACAATATAGATAAATTTTTAGATAAAAGTTCTACAAACTTTTCTCTAGTTCTACACACCCAAAGTTTTCAGATCTACTTTCACCACGTCAATCCATCTTTTCCTATGTCTTCCTTTAGCTGTTTTCCTCTGGGTTTCATTCTAGTACTACTCTAACTGTTTTGTCCTCTCATCTCCTCATTATGTGGCCTAACTATTCTATCCTTTTAACTTGTTACAGGTGCTAGTTTCAACGTGTTCAGCTCCTTGTTACATCTTCTCTATCATATCTACGTATCTTCGTCGATGATAGGTTCACATATTTTGCTCCATACTCTGTTTTCAAAAGTTCTCAGATCCTTATCAGTATTTTTATCGACACCCACGCTTCACAACCATACGTGAGAGTGGGTCTTACAATGGCCATAAATAATCTTACTTTTGTTTTTCATTCTAATTAATTAATAAACTACCGGCATTCTCTAGTAGTACCCTTACTACTTTCTCTAGAGCAAGATTGAAAAGTACTGGGTTTAGGGCGTACCTCAGCTTAAACCGAGTTTCCGCTGCAAAAGTTCCAAATGTTATATTTTGTGCTATCACTCTATATTTCGTGTTTTCCATACAGTTTTAATCAGTGATATTAATTTTTTTGAGAAACTGAACTCATAATATTAATAATATACATAATATTATAGAGACTTTTTCTGTGAGTACTATCATAAGCCTTTTTAAAATACACGATTATTTGTATACTCACTGATTATTTGTTGGCCTACTTTCAATCATCTTACATCAAGTATGAATGAATGGCTTTTGTATGGCTTATTCTTTGATATTGTAGGTCTTAGGTTTATAATCAGCATTCCGTTTCCAAAGACCCGTCTTAAATTCGTAATGAGATTCAAATTAAAATCGAAATGTTAAACTTAATGGATATATCAGATTGCCAGAAAAGTGTATATTTAGAAGAAATACACATACTGGTTTCTCCCAAAAAGAACTCAATGACTTAAAATATTATTTGAATTTGTCGAAGACATCTTATGATATCTTTGCATCACAGCTTAATGAAAAACATTGATTGAACCTGGAGTCACTAAAAATATTGTAGGACTAGATAGCAAGATTATTTTTCTTATATTTTAAAAGATACAGTTGTATATCGTAATGATATCATTAGGTTATTAAACTCTATGGTTCTTTTTTAATGAATTACATAAAATTTCGTTTTATGTTTAAAATGCGTTTTATTGCTATACCAATAGGCAATTAGACAGAATTTAAAAAAGAATATCAAAACATAAAAATTCTTTAAGAGAAAATTAAAAAAATTATTTTAATAAGGAATAACCACTACGCGAAAATATGAAGGTTGGTAAATCGAACATTATCAATAAATTCTTAATAATTTGCGAAAAGTAATTCTATCCCCACTTCACATAAAACTAGGGCATTAAAAATCAGACATATATTTTATTTCACTTAAATTTGATTTTATTAGATTTTGGTAAAAATTTACTATGACTTTCAGAAGAAAAATATATTGGATCAATTATAAAAGATGTTAATATTATATACGATCCACCGATAGTTTTACACTTTGCAACAAATCATGAAGATGATGATGATGGTACAATCGAATCGGCTGGAAGTAAATCGCTAGGTTCATCACCATCAAGTAGTCATAGTGATATGAGCTCACCAATGTTTAAACCAGAACCAATATTAGTAAGTTTTCATTTGACTAAATATTAACAGTAAAACTTATTGGCTTTATTTAGTCGCATGCATTAGTTTAACTATTATTCAAAATAAAAATAAAAATTTATTATATGTACAATTGAGGGAAAAATTATAACAATAGATACATTGATACCATAAAGGTACGAAGTATAAAAAAATTATTTTTTTTTTTACGTGGAAAACACAGTTAGAGATGGTGGCGCAGATTGTCACTCTTAAGCTTTTAACTTATTTAGTTATACTATAATTTCAACTAAAATAATACAAATAATTCATTTTGTGAATATTTGTACTATCTATTTGTAACATTATGCATATTACATAGTAAATAAGTAGCTAATTCGATCCTAATTTCTATAAATATTGCTTATGGTAAAAATAAGAAGTATATTAATTAATTAATTTTTCATATTTATATAATAAGAATTTATCACTTGTGATATATATTAATCAAAATTACAAAAATATATTTAAAATATTAAAAGCAAACTTTAAATAATAATCTTCATTTATCATTGCGGATCTACCATCAAAGAGTAAAGCAGTTTTTTTTACACTTTCGTATAGAAAAAAACAAGACTCTAGACCAATAATGAATATAAAATGGCATTAAAAACTGACAAAAACATTATTGATTACTAATTTAATATTTTAATAGTCCCGTGTAAACAAATAATAGTATTCATTACCTCAATACCTCGATTGAAGTATTTGTTTTTTTTGGAAAAATCTATTTTTTTTTTACTACTATTAATTTAGGATACCACTTTTTTCTAAAACTATTTAAGCGAACAAAATACTTTTACTATGGTCATCAAATCCTGAGAAAAAATATTAACATGGTTCTATAATAAACTCAAAATATTATATGTTATGATTTGAGCAGAAAAAAACTATAATAAAAAATTGGATTCCCTTATTATTAAAATAAATAGTAACTCCTTTTTTCCACTATTATAATATTATTTTATTATATTTTTTCTTTTATTTTTGAGTTACTATACGAGTCTGACTCTGAAATTATGTCATATTGTCGCCATTTCTCGTATTACTAAATGCCTAGAATCCTAGTAACTCATTACTATCACTTCTACTTACACATATTTCTCAATTATTTTTTTGACAGTACGCATATTACAGAATCTTCGCAAACAGTTGAATTAGACAGTTGATAAATATTTTCCACTAGTCGTTCATAATCTTGAATATCTTTTACTAGATAAATGTATTTTATTTATTTGATTGTGTTCACTTCAATAAGAAAATTAATAAAACTTTTGAATTAAATTCTTGTATTATTTGGTCCTTAGTTCCTACTAACTAAAATCTAACGCTGTGCATAAACAGTATTTACCATAAAAATTATTTATAACATGTTCTTGTTTTTTTGTTTTTGTTAGCTATTATTATTATTAAATTATTGTATATATGCATATATTTTAGCTAGCCAGTATGACTCATTTCTAACAGAACTAATTTATTGTTTTTTTTATGTTCGTAGAATTCAAGTTCTCAAATAACATCAAATTCTTCTGATAAAAAACAAAGTACTATATCAAGTCCACCATCAATAAGGAAAGGAAGTTTAAGTACTTTACATCATCAGTTAAAAAGGCAATCAAGCCAAAATAGCTCAATACTAGAGCAATTTGCTAATCAAGCTAAAGAACTTGTAAGGGAAACTGCCAGACAAAGTAGCCAAGAAGGTTCGGGAGGAATATTTGCTCAAGTTGCTGATAAGTTGACAACTCAAGCTAAAAAAGCCGCAGGTGAAGCAACAAAATCTGTTCACGAGGTTAGTAAATCCGCATTAGAAGCCAGTAAAAACGCAGCAGGAGTCAGTAAAAATACTTTTGATGACCTAACTTACGTAGGAAAAAGTACAATTGGTGATTTAACAAAAAGTGCTAAACAAGTCGCTTCAAAAAAAGGATTTAAAGTAAAATTATCCAAATAATTTATGCATATCTTTGTATTAATATTTGAAAATTTTAGGTTGGAATACTTGGTGAATCCATTTCCATCAATCCAAGTTTTGACAATGATATAAATGACTCTTTATCTGTAAGTAAGAACTCAAGTTCGAAAATTTCGTCTGAAGTTGGTAAAATGTCAATTGCATCAATTGAAAGTAATAATAGCAAAGATTTCTTTTCAAATATAACAAGTGACATAAATGGATTTGCTACCCAAACTAGCAGCATGTTCAGTGATCTCTTTAGTAAGAATTTTTCATATTACTTTTAACCGAAAATTTTACTATGATTTCTTATAATCAAAAATGGGTATCTTAAAATATTTAAAAATAAATTAATACAACATTGAATGATAAACACTTAAGTAAAGTTTGATTCACTAAAAAAAATATATATACATAGTAAAAATCAGTATAGATTCAACTATATTGCATGACTTTCACTGATGGATTTCATAAAACCTTTCAATAAAAATGTGAATAAAGCAATTTACGAAAACATTGATAGATATGTAATAAATAATAGAATAAATTATTACCAAGTAAGATTATTACAACTGTTGATTTTTTTTTTTTGTTTAACAGGGCCTAGTCCCATTCCAATAATATGATATCAATAAAAACTTAATACTATACTTTTAAGTCAATTAATAAAAATTGTAATAGCTGATGGTGTGTTCAGAATAACTAAACAAAATTTATATATTTCTAGTAATAATTTTCCATAAAATATTTAAAAATATTTTTCCCAAGTTTGCACTTATGGGTTAATAATGAGCTTTCTAATTTTATTATCCTATAATTTTTCCTTTTTATGATGTTTGACCTCTTCTATTAAAAGTTATTTATAGTTGTCATTAAATTTGAAAGTCTTTAAAAGATTTAAAAACAATTTTATTCATTGATATTAATATTAATTATTAAAATATGAGTATTTACATATAAAAATAATTAAAAATAAAAAAACAAAGTTTGTTATTATTAATTATTAAATTATTAATGATTTTGATTTTTAATATATTAAAAATAAACATTTTTAACCTACATTTTTGTTCTTTAAAGTTGATTTATGTAAAAATGTAAAATAAAAGAAAGTTGAATTTGTTACCATAACTTTTAGTTCAACTTGCAAATTTTAAATTGACATCATGAAACAGAAAATTTTTTTTTTTTATGTCTGTTGCAACTTTTTCTCAGCTCTCACTGGACCGATTTCTTTCAAAAGTACGTCAAAAGATCACAAATTGTATCTAGTTGGAGACATTACCCTTAAAAATTGAAAAAAATTCCCTCGTTCCCCGCAAATGGGGGAAATATCCAAAAAAATTATAAATTTAAAAATCGGTAAATTTTGTCATTTTTTTCACTTTTTTTTCTTAAAACTTCCATAACTTTTTGAAAAATCTACAAATCAACATAATTTTTTTTCTACTAAAACCTTAGATATTTCTCTTTTGTTTGATATCATTTTGTTGAAAATCTAACACTTAAACTGCTCATGGGGGGGGGGCATTTTAAATAGAAACTTTTTTACAAAAACTAACTTTTTCAACTTGATTTTTAAAAATGTTCCGGAAATACTGCGTCCTTTAAACATATATCAAATTAAAGCTTATTTTATGTGCTATAAAATGAAAAAAAAAAATTTGTCCCGACACTTTATCTTCTGCATGTAAACGGCTGGCGTAGTTAAAAAAACGCTATTTTTGTGTTAAAATTTTCGATTTTAAATTTTCAACTTAAAAATGCTATAACTTTTCGAAAAATGTTGTTATTGTTCATGTTGTTTTTGGAATAATCCACCTATTTTTTAAAATTAAACACTATCTACAGATTTGCATCGAAGTGTTTTTTATGATAGTGATTTTAATTACTGTCAGATATCATCTATACTGGACCCAACTATGCCACGACCCCACTGTGCCGCCATCCCACTGTGCTGGGGTTTTTTTACTTAAAATTAAAAAAAACAAATTTGGAAAATTATAACTAAAAGAAGAGATAATATGATAGCGTATACACTGCACCATGATAGTTTACTGAAGCTGATTATTGAAGGATATGTAGAAGTTAAAACTGGAACAGGAAGACCAAGAATGGAACACATTTCACAGATTATGAAGGACATGGTAATAGGTAGTTATCGAGATCTAAAGGTGCTGAATTTTAACAGAGAAGCTTGGAGAACTGCGGCCAACCAATCGAGAGATTGAAGACCGAAAAAAAACACTATAGGAATGCATTAATCACTATTATTAAAATACCTAATCTCCATTATATATTGTCTATTATTTTACAATTTTCATTATTAGACTTAGGGAAACCACTTATTTCAACTTGGTTTAAAATTGATTTTTGCTCTAATAAATATAGGTTCTTGGATATATTGAATAAATCCTTATTCAATTGAATCTTTACCTCATTTAGGTATTTCATAGTATTTAAAACTTCTTTTAACTGATTACCAAAATCATTAAATTGGTTGCTCAATAATTTGACAGAACTAATAAACTTGTTAAAATTTTATTTGATCAAACAAATGTGCCATTTTTTCTGATCTAGTAATACTAATCATACCCATATTTATTTTATATTTAGAAGAAAATGTTTGTTTAGCCATAATTATAAGTTTACTATAAACTATTTTTATAAAGTTGGCATAAGTAAATTGAAAAAAATCTTCACAGGCTTTAGATACATTCATCACCATCAAGTATTTCATCATAAGATATAGAACATAACATTGTAATTATAACATAATTTCAAAGAATATGAAAAAAAACAAAAATAAGAGAACTAATTAATAGTTGATAACAACTTTTGAACTAGTACTTTGAAACTAACTCTCATTTTTATACCTAAGCGGGAGGAGAAAATATCTAATGATTAAAATAGCAGCAATCGCGCTTTACCTTCAGTCTGTATATTAAAATCTTATCAACATTCGAAAGAATAATCCAAAAATTATTTATGTGCAGTCATTATGTAGTTAGTTATTTTTATTTTGCAAGCAATAAATTGATTTATGATAAACCGATCACCTGCATACATTAAAAAATCTTTCGGATTAAAATTGCAGACTTAACAAAACAAAGAATGTAACAAGAAAAATTACCCAACATGTGTTTTAGAATATATAAATGAATATCCAATAATAATATTTTTTTTTTACTTTTTCATTTCGATAATAAAATTCATTTTTTTTGTTTATAGGCACTAAAATTCAGAAAAATAACTCTGTTGCGTTCAATAAAACATCACTTACATTACCTGTACCAAAAGAAAGGAAAGAACGTACATCTTTTGGACCATTTCCTAATAAAGGTATTTTGTAACATTTTATAAAATTAATAAATTAATTTTTTATTATGTTCAAATTATAATCAGTATTTTATTAATTACAAAGAATTATTTAATAAATAATAACATCTAGTTCTAATTTGTCAGAACTATATATACCACTTATTTTATATTCAAACCCCTACTATAAATAATAAAATAGTTAGGTCCCTATTCATAAAAAGTAAATCAATAAAAAAAAATAGACTAGCAAAATTGATACAAAAACTTTATTTTGATTTGTATATCTATAAAAATTTATAAATACTTAAAGAAAGGTCATATTAAATTACAATTTCGATTTAACCAAGCATATTGAAAACTTATAACAATTTTAAGTTGAAAAATTTTATATTTTNGAAAACTTATAACAATTTTAAGTTGAAAAATTTTATATTTTTCACATCGATCATTTTTAAAATTACACTATTTTAGGATATTCTTATTTATAAAAAGAATTAAAAGGTGTTTAAAATTTTGAAGCTAATATTTTTAACGAGTTATATTCGGGTTCTATTGGAGTATAACTTGACAATTTAACAATAATAATAATAATTGGTTCCTTAGAAGCTTAATGATGTCAGACAAAAAAATTATATTCTAGTAAAATTAATAGCGTCTTATATCCAAACGAAGTTTAGAAATTGAAAATATTTAATTAAATTTAGAAAATATATAAAATTTTTGATTCAAAAAAATGGATGATCTATAAGCATTTAAATATTACAATTCTTTAATTACTCTATTGAAAATATAAAAAAAAATTAAATTACTCTTTTTATATTGGTTTTGTATTACTAATGAGGGAGAGTTGCTTATTTAGCCCTCTGGATTCGCCACCTTATATTAAAATTTATACAATATAAAAAGTAAAATGCCATGTGTATTTTGCTTAAAATGTTTACAGATGTATCCACCTTTACAGTTATGACCTGGCGTTATACAATGATGTTTGAAAACGTGGATACATCTGTAAACATTTCAAGCAATACGAAAACCCACAAAAGCTTCAACACATTTATGAGTCTATTTTGATAAAAATATTTAATGTTTCAATTTATTGTATAGTTGGGCGGAACGGTTTGGTGGAAAAATCAAAATTAATCAAACATTCAAATCCTAAAACACCCAATGACTCTTCGAAAATTCAAAATAAAAAAATTATGAAAGTCAATAGTCACATAGATAATGAATCGTTTTTAAAAGATGTAAGTATATTTATTAGATATATTGCATATCTATATAGGGGCTATTCTATAACTACGCCTTAAGAAATATTCAGCTACTCTATGAGAAAAATTAAATTTTTAATATATCTCTTATGATTTAAACTATCATTAACTGTTGTTTTTTAATTACAACCATATTTCTAGTTACGCCAGATTTGTATTCAGTTTCAAGTGAGTTACAAGTCTTATGTTTAAAAGAGAAGAAAAAATAAACATTAATTCAAAAACAAGGCACGTAAATCGATAAGCGCTATCGACTTTAAGCAATTAATTGAACAGTTATAAGAGTATATGTGCATTATCAATTCATGGCGTTTGAGCCATGTATAAATAAATCCTTATTTTTACATTTCCCTTAAACTTAAAAGAACGTAACTCACTGGGTATTAAATAAAACAAAATAAAAATGTTTCAATTAAACCTTTTAATAAAAAAAAAATAGGGTTAACTTTTAAAAATCAAAAATTGATGATAGAAATTTAACAATCTTATGGAGTAGCTCAACAAAGAATCATTATTGTTGTAAAAAATATTTGCCAAGTCGGATCCGAATGTAGACTTTCTTAACTTAAAAAAAAAAGATAAATTATTAAATGCAAGTTAACACGATTAACTTCGAAAAAATGTGGTCGACATTGGTTTTGAGGATAGAGACCCGTAGGCCGTTTATTAATGAGCAACAATAAGTTATTTTTATATAAAATAAAATAAACCGAAAAGATGAACACAATAATAATAAACTTCGCATAATATCGCGTCACTTTCGCTGACGTCGACGACGCGATGTCCGGCGTGATCCTCGGGTGACAAATGGTTAGCAGCGTTGATGGCGACGGTGTGCGGGTACGGATCAGTTGGTCGACGTTGTCGCTTTAACAACGGGAAGAAGACTCCCGCACCATTTGCGGCGGGTCGTCGTCGGCCGTGCGGCACTTGCTGGACTTTGCACCGTAGCGTATGACACGCGGTGTTAGTCAGTCAAATACTCATAGTAGGGCGACGGCTGATAAAGGTGGCACGAGTCGCGGAGCATCGTGTATAACGAAGCGACGCGGGCCGTATCAAAGTGTAATTTGGTGGTATAAGCATTATTCGGAAGTTTAAGAGAAGGTACAGTAAATTTGTGTCTTAAAAGTGATTTTGTTTTCCTCTATAACGAACGAACCTAATAATAATCTATTGTAGAGAGAGATTGCAGATTTAAGTTGTATTGCTCAATTTTTTTCTTTTTTACGCAAAGACTTAAGCTGATTTGAAAAAAAGTTGTAAATTTGTTTGTCAGCGGTATAATGTTTTCTCTGATAAGTATACTAATTTTTGAATTAATTAAGTTGTTTATTTTTTTTCTTTCGCAGTATGTAGGAGATTATTGGATGGCTTTGTGTACATTATCTATTAATGAATTAATGGTGTTGTTAATATCCGAGGGAGTTTTCAGGCTAATATTTAATAAAGTGTATTTTGTTAGTTTATTTTTGAATAATTTCCAGTTAATTTTTTGTTACAGAAATTGTTCTCTGAAGCATTTGCACTAATTTTAAGTACAACAGGTGTATGATTCTAAGCAGGATCACTTAGATTAAAAATATTTAATTAAAGATGATTTGGTAGATTCGTAATTAAGAAATCTAATGTATCTGGATATCTATTGTAGTGGGTTGGTCAGTAAGTAGGTGAAGTGGGACATATTGGTCTAACACGTAAGCTGTTAATGAGGTTGAATAGTGTTCGACCACTTATATTTGTAATTCCACTACTTCACATATTAAATTTCGCATTAAAGTCAGTAACCAACAATAAATGTATGATTATGGCTTGTATGAATGAAGAAAATTCATTATCAGGAAAATTGTAACCCAGAGTGCAAAAGCTGATAAAATTGATATTGGTATAAAATTTATTATAATAGATGTGGCAAGCTTAAATGTTTTCAGTTGATTTTAGTGGAAATTGAGAGTTGTGAAGTTGTTTTGAAATTAGTAAAGATGCTCCAGCATGAGCTGAGTCATTAGGATGATCTACTCTAAGAATATCATTGCCTTGGATAAATAATTGAGATCCGGAGGTTAAGAGTCTCAGATATAAGAGCTTCATATCATTTTATATTATTTTCAATTAGGGTTATAAGAAGTTCATTTACATGGTTTTCGATGCCATAGCGTTCCATAGTATGAAGGAGAATAATTTAGATTGAGTGTTAGTTAACATTTTTAATAGCTTTTCTATAACTGTAGATAATAATGAGATAAGGAGATTAATAAGAGTTTTTAAATCAGTTATGAACGTTCTGAAATTATTTATTAATTTGTTTTCTGATGTATTTTAATTAGATGATGTTGAGTTTAGTGAGAACGAAGGATATTGGAGTCACTAATTGGTGGTTCCCTTTTTGAATTGAAATATTTTGTTTAGTGTATGCTGTTTTATATGCACCCCCGTATAAGGCGCATTTTGCTTGTTAATTTTTTTCTTTCTTGAATTTAGAAGAGTCGTATTCCCCTCCGCGCCGAACTCATTTGGGAGGGTGATGCCATTATGAGCAAGTGTGCCCGTAAGAATAGTAGTAAAGACATTAAGGTATATATAGGTGACTTCAATTTTGATTTTCGAATAGTATAAAGAGGTTAAATTAAGAACGTCAGAGTTGTTCGGGTGAAGCTCAAGGTCAATAAAAATAATCGATAAGGGAGTTTTTGCATTTTTTTGAAGTGCATTCATGACATTTCTGGTTTTAATCCAAGCGAGTTTAATTCTTCACTAATAATCGCTGTGTGAACGACAATTCTAAATGGCTTATTTTTTTTACTTTGGTATAAATAGAGAGAAACATTATTATTTTGTAGAAATTTTACAACAGATCTATAGGAATCTAAACCATAAATTTGTAACTATAGACTTTTGACTGAATTTTTGCATTTGAATGAACTGTTAGTAATTTTTTTATTTTAACAATTATAAAATGTATTATAATTTATTTAAGCTTGAATATATATGGATGAAAGTAGTAGTATTTTTACATGGTTAGTATTAGATGGAGTATTTATATTTGAATTAATAATTATTTGATCAATACCAGTTGGAGCTATAGGAGAGAATCGATTTTATGAAATAAATATATTATAATTAGAGAAATCTGAACGCGATGCGTTGGCTGTTTGTTTTAAAAAGTTTTTTAAAAAGACTTTTCAGTTACTTTCAAATTATGTATAACACACTCATTTTTAAACATTTTTACTTTTAAGTTTCAAAAATTATCTTTTATATGTTTGAACATTTTGAGAACAACATACAAGAACATTAATGAAAATATTTAAATTATATTTTTTATCATTTTACCATTTATAATTAGGTCACAAAACAAATACTTGATGGAGATGGTATTGGGTGGCTAAAGTTAAACAGATTTAAAAAACTAATGGAAGAAGAGGGATACCGAAATTTAGTTGTCAGCAAATTAAATCGAACTTTAGACAATAAAATAAGTCCATGTGATCACATCGATGATGTGGTAATTAAAAATAAAATAATTTTCTTCGTGGTATTTAAGATAAAACATAATATTTTTAGAATATCAGTCGAGGAGTTTATAAAGGAATGTTAAAAGGACTATTAGCGATAATTCATGGATTAGAAGTATCATTTGCTAACCAATGTGGTGGAGGATTAGCATCCGCTTTCCAAGTATTAGAAATTGCACATACACATTATTGGTCTAAAGATTTGTCGGTATCAGGTTTTGAATCACAAGTAAATAAAATAAAAACATTATTTATGTTTCATATTAATTAATTCCATATCTTAATTAATAGTCATCTAGCCCGTATGGTAGCAGAGAAAACATTCAGTCGCCTCCATTGAGTCCTAGTGCCTTAAGTTCCCCTGTTTCTAACATAAACATAGAATCTAGAAAATCTTCACAAACAAGTACATCTGAATTAATTGGTAAATATATTATCTAATTTACTTATTAATCATTTAAATTAGAATTTTATATTCTTGATAAAATAATTCACTCTTCTTCTTTTTCTTCCTCGCCTTAATCCCAACTACTTGGGGTCGGCCACCCTTATCCTAAACTTTCACTTGACACGATCTCCCACATCATTTACAGTCACATCAGCTATCTTGATAAAATTATTCGCTAACTTGGAAAATTGCAATTACACTGATTTTAATCATTTTATGCGCATAATAATATTTAATCTGACCTACGTTACAACAATATGTTTTATAAGCAAATACTGTTTGAAAAATGGCTCAATCCTTTTAATCATTTGAAGTTCAACATGAATTTTTAACTAATTCAAATTAACCAAGCTTTTGCTACTTACGTTGTTAAATATATGTTAACAAATTTGGTAAAGCTATAAACAATTTACATCAAAAAATTATTGAAGTTATTGATGAAAAACCTTAGCTTAATTTTATTGAAATAATAAGAAAAATTAGTATTGACTTACTACATTATACTTTAGACTGTTTAACTAATCACAATTCTACCTCTAAGCTTTTAATTTTAGCTGATTATACATATATAAAAAATATTTTCATAAAAATAGTTTTAACATTGATATAACTAGTTATACTGATACTAAAACAGAGTAAAATTATAGCATCTCAGCTATGTATCAAAACTAAATTTAATCTTTATTTATAAGCATAATCTAACCAAAGTTTTTAGTGTAACAAATGTTATTATTATTTGCCTACTCTAAAAAATATTTTCGTAGAACAATAAATATAATTTTCTGGATATTGATGAAACTGATTCTTATAGGGGACTAAGGATCTTCTAACTTCATGTTCATGATTATGTTATTAGACATGGGTATGAAATTACATCAATTTAATGTCATACCCATGTCAAGTGACTATAGTCACTTGATTTTTATAAATATTATTTTACAGAAAGTAAAAGTGGTGGAAAATTGATACACGAAACTTCTATTATTAATGATAATCTAGGGTCAACTACAATATCAACCAACGAAATTTTTGAAGATATTATTTGTAAAAGTCAAGAGATAACTTCAAGTAATAGCCCGACAATCGACGAAGTAAGTAAAAGTATAATAGAAGGATCCGGTTATAATCCGGCACACATGGTAATCCGGTACTATTTTTGAAAGCGTCAAACTATTATTATTATTAATATTTGCAACTGAATGAAATTTATATAAGTAATCCCTAATATATCTAAAATAAATATATATTTGTTTTTTTTAATTTTAATTATTGAAAATTAATTAAGATTTTAGTCTGAGAGGCTTGGGGATCATCCCTTTTTGAACCAAAAAGTTCCTATAATAACGTTTATACCTTAAAAAATTTTTTATGAAGTCGCTTATCTTGACAGTTATTCAAATAAATTTTTTAACTGCATGAAGCCCCGACCATAAATATTATATACGAGCCGGTAATTCAGAGATCTGTGATGTATGAACCTCTTCAAAAATAATTTTTCCCCATTTAAACTATTACTATGAAATTTATTTTATTTTATCATATAATAAAATTAAACTTTTCTATTACTCATCTGAAAATGATGAATATAAATTTAATTTGTGAAAGTTTAACATTTTTGAAAGTCCGATACTGTTATGTGCCACATGGTTATTGCGATTTCAATATTATGCCCAGTCAACAAAGGAAAAATGGCAAAAAAATTCCCAACCAAATTTTTTTTTTTTTAAAGTTGAATTAAGATATGTATAAAGACATACTAAAAGACCTCATAGATTGGAAATGAGCTTTTTTTTATAGCCTAGAAAAAGTACAAACATATGAGCTTTTTTAATTTTCTCAACAAAATTTCACTTATAAAAAAAAGTTTCGTACAAAATTTGTTTAAAAGATAATTATAAACTAAAGAAATATCTTCTATTTTTTCATTTAAACAAATATTTTTCGAGTTACATTACATTTAATATGAGAATTGAAATATTTTTTCCATTTTACGGGTACTTATTATCATGTTATACTTACATTAGACAAGATGTTATAAATGCATATGTGTGTATGTGTGAGTTTATTTATTTATAGTATCATTAAAGTGTAGTGTATATTAAGATACAACCGATAGAGTAGATAATTGATTTGACACTATATTGTTTAAACCCAACCAAACGCTAAATTGTATATTCCCAAACAACAATTATATTATTTCAATTGCCACCGGAATTTCTAGTAATCTTCTTCTTTTTCTTCGCTTTAATCTCAAATACTTGGGGTCGCACGCCCTTATCCTAAATTTTTACTTGACACAATCACCCACTTCATCTACGCTCACATCAACCGTCCTCATATCGCATTCAATAACATCCCTCCATCTCTTTTTTAGTCCTCCTCAACCTCTTTTTCCTTCAACATTCATTTCTATAAATGTTCTTACAGCTTCCAATTCATCTCTCCTTATAACACATCCAAATCATATAAATCTATTTTCTCTCATCTTATCCACGATTGACGTAACACCTATGCTCCCTCTTATATTTTCGTTCCTTATCCTATCTTTCATAGTCACTCCACTCATCTATCTAATCATTCTCATCTCTTCTACACTCATTCTCTGCTCTACTTTCTTGTCAACCATCCAACACTATGAACTATACAACATAGCTGTTCTCACTATAGTCTTATAGTACTTATCTTTTAGCCTCATTGCAATTCAATTGGAATTTCACCAGTTATATGAATAAACAAAATAAAAAAAATAATATTCAAAATATTAAATCATCTTATTATTAGTATTTCGGAAGTTATTAAGGATTTAAAATAATGGTTGAAGGAAAAACAGGAGTATTGTTATTTTCGTTTTTCGATTTCACTCCTCTCACGTAGGTATAAAAATGTAAACTTCTAAAAAGTTGTTCTAAAAATTTTTATCAACCAGTCATTTTCTTAATTAAATCATTTTATTATATAATAGAACAAGGAAAAAAACGCTTTTCTGGGAAAATTACTTAGCGTGCTCGGATTTTCAAAATTTTTTTTTTCAACGAAAGTACTCGGTCACCAGACTTCGGAAAATTATTGGCGAAGGTCGGAAAATTTTTGCCGCTCGTCCACGAGCGTTTTAAAATTTCCACCGTTTTCGAGAAAAACGCTCGCTGACGCCAGCGTTTTACAACTTAAAGTTTGAAATTTTCACCAGACCCGACCAATGACATTCCTGAGATATGATAAAAATATCAATTCAATCCGTTCAATTTTCACCGTTTTACGAGCATGGTTTTAATATGCGCAGTGATTCATTTCTGCTTATACGTTTATTATGAACCTTTGGTGTAATATGTATTTTTATTAGGACACTATTTTGCATTTGCACTATATTTTATCGAGAAATATTATATGTTATATATAAATTTCAAGACGGTTATAATTATATAAGTTTGTACTTTCATTATCAGAACAGTACATTATTTATGTAGGGCTCCGGGTCTGGGGCGGAGTCCCAGCTAGGCGGAGCCTATTTATCTAATAAATTAGCTAATTAATTTTATATTTTCATATTAAAAAAAAAGTTTTTACTTTGTAAGGATGTTAACTAAGATATAAGGAATCATCATAAAAAATAATTCATAAATGGTAAATGGTAAACTGATAAATGGTGAAAAAGTGTAATTTAAAGAAAACAGTAAAAAAATTCTGGAGAACATTTTAATTTTTATTAAATAAGTGAATCACGATAACAAGATGTACATTTATTGACCTTTCTATATTTAAGTTACCTTTAATTTGTTTTATAATAAAGGTTATTTTATACTCACCTTCAAAAAACAATTTTACGTTTTAAAGAAATTAATATTTTTTTCAAAGTTATGACTAGAAAATGATTTTCTACTTTTTAATGCTTTAAAATATGATAGAATATTGCACTAAAAGCCTTTAAAGTATGTTTACAATATCCATGAAAAATAATGAAATATTAATTGGGTTGGGCTTGGACTAATACAGTTTCATACACAAATCAACAAAAAAAATATTTCACAATTGCAGATGAACTGCTATAGTCTTTAACTATTAGTTACATTATTTTTCTTTAAGTTATTGTTGTTTTAGTATATCTTATAAGCAGATATTCATCAACTAAATTTTAAAATGTTTTTCAATAATCATTAAATAATCATCTAGTTGATATTTAATCTTTCTATTGTATTAAAAATACAATTTAATCATATCATTAAAACATATTAAAGAATATAAATTATATTGTTGATTTAGGGAGATTCGACTACTATTATATCATCCGCAGCATCTGATATATCGAGTTGTAGTGGTAGCGCAACAGTCGTGAACAATCCATCTTTTTACTTAAAGAGAATTTCATCCAATAACAGTAATAGAAACAATACTACATTATTTAGAAGTGCTGTATCTGATAGTGAACTTGACAATACAGGAGTAAGTTTTTTAATAGATAATGTTTATGTACATTTTCAATATCCACTATAAAAATAATTTCCTTTAATTAGTTGTTCAAAACAATAAATAAAAATCGCAACCCAAGTATTTGGTCAAGCAAATCTTCATTAAGTGCTGGTTTCAGATATCCAGGCGGAAATTTGATGAATCCAACTTCAGGATCACCTAGCCCAGATTCAGGACGAACATATTTATTTGAAGGTATCTACCTTATATATTTTTAAATTATTATTAATAATAATATAATATAATAATATAATAATATAATATAATATTAATATAATAACTAGACCTTGCCACAGACCTGGGCCTTTGCATACTTCACACGATTATGGTACGTTAGTCCCTATTCTAACGGGTTGGTCACTATTTGGATACACCAAGCACGATAAGTGTTTAGAAAGCCTGTTCTGTATTTAATTTATAAACTCACTTCAGACGATCATCCATGATCAACACATTTTCTTTGTAACACTTTACACTTGGCCAGTTTTTGGATAGTTGAGGGTTAAAATAGCAATGCCCAATGATTCCGGGATAAAATCTTCAGCGTTCTTTTACTTCTCCATCATCCACGGAAAACCTGAGTGCATATTGATCTAGTATTTGGTCTATTGTTAAGGAATACAAATAGAATATCAATGTTGATCATGAATTATGTTTTAAATTTACAAGCTTATATTCTATTGATATTGTTTCGTAATTGTTTTAATTAATTTATACATTCTTATAGTATATAAAATAGAATTTGAAGTTTATACAAAAACAACTGTGTATCAAAATCATGAATGGAATTATTTTTATCTTAGCTAAATCTATATTAATTATCTAAGCTCAAATGCTACAATTGACTAATGTTTATAATAAAAATTGTAAAAATTTAATATTAATTAGTATTCTATATTACTGTATTAATAATAATTATTTTAAAATTTATATTGATATACATTTTTATAACACAACTAATATTATATTTCAATAGGTATATTGGGTAAAGAAAGAAGTATGATTTGGAATCAACTGAAATTTTGGGAAGATGTGTTTATAGACGCAGTCAGTCAAGAAAGAGATATGATAGGAATGGATCAGGGCCCAATTGAAATGATGGAAAGGTTAATATATCGAAAATATATTTTAATTATAGAGTATTTAGTTATATGTAACATACTTATATCATTGTATTACATGTAATACAATCATTATCTCCTTAGCCTTTTTTTCACACGGTCGATATAATGTTGGCTCCCCGGAACTGCCGTAAGACATTGCTTCAGGCCGGCCCACGCCGTCTCTATAATTCACACCACTACGTTGTAAATCAGCCCGAAATTGATCAAGAGCTTATTCTCAATGTGGTGTTCCCCCCTCCCCCCATTAGAAAGATCCCAGAGTGGGTACCGTTTGGGAGGGTTGGCAAAATAATCAGAATTGCTCCCACGCCTCGCACCGGAAGAGGGTGTGCAGAGTGCTATCTGCACATCGCCCTCCTTCGACCACTCCTCCACATCAAGGAACAAGACAGGCATGGTCATCATCGGACGGTGCACCCAGACGTTATGCTTCTTCAGGGTGCCCTTAAAGCTATCACCCTAGGTGCCCGAGCGACATTCCTCTAAGAGAACGACTCCCGTCCGAGTTCTTCTGGTATTTCCCCAGCAGGCATGGGGACGGCCGCGTTAAGCGGAGTGTCCTCCAGGGTGATGGTGGGTGGGCTAAGTTTTGGGGAGATCACCTTTCGTTTAGGACGAAGGGAGTTGTCCACCTCTAGCTCTACCACCTCAGTATCAACAGCTCCACCAAGAGTTGAACCCCTGCTACAACAGATGCGTTTAGTAACCTCTCCACGTGTCCGGAGGGGTAGCCGTTTTCATAACCAATCATTTCACAGGCGGAAATAGCTTGGTCACCACTAACTCCTGCAGTCGCAGTACAACCCCATGATTGGCTGCGGAAGCCTGCCTCAACACTCCTGCATTTGACGTGTATTTAATTGATCCAAACAACACCTGGTGGTACACCACCCACCAACCACCAACACTAGGGCATCCGATTTCCCTGATGCAGTAACCGTTAAACTTTCTGTCCTTTGTCATTAAAATGATATTGTGAGGGGACTGCCCTTATAGCTAATCCTTCGGCCAGTAAGCGGCTAACTACACTGGTGGCGTTAAATAGCTCTTTGTTCACACCCAAACGCTACCGTTTATTCGTTCATAAAAGCTTATTTCATGGCTACCTAGTATATCTACTTGATTAACGAGCATCTGGGCAGCATACTGTCCTCGACCGCTTATTTGTCAGTCTAAAATAATAGACTACTTATTTCGCGGCTAACCTGCATATCTGTAGGCCCTTTTTCTATCCACAACATGAGGGTTAGGTTCTATCTTATTTATTTGACGAGATTTTTACCATAGCTGTCGACCTGATATAACCTTATTATAGTTGAGGGAATTAGTAAGGATACAAGGTGTTAGTCACTTTTAACATTATCAAAGACCATCCCTTGACATACGGGAACTTGAACGTCCCCTATGTCACCATCTAAGAATTAATAGGAAACAGCGCAGCTAAACATCAGTGCTAAAGCACTAAATTAAATATTTACTGTACCAAACCACGCCTTTTATTTGTATCACATTTAATAATTGTGTATATAGTTAAGCATAGTTAAAGAATACAAATGAATTATTGAAGATTTTTAATATTGATTCACTAATTTTGTTTGGGTTCTTGAACTGTATAATTCTAAGTGACTATTTAATATTTGCACAGAAATTACGATAAATTATTACTAAATTACTATCATTATAATTTAGGTACAAAAACTTGAGTCAAAGTGAAAAAAAACGACTTGAATATGATGAAGATAAACTTTTGTCAGTTATGATACACAACTTAATTGGATTTATGATAATGATGTGTGTGCCCAAAGAAAATTTAATGAAAATAGTAAGAACATTAGTGGGGAAAAGTCGAATAACCAATTGCTATGCATCTGAAATCACAGGACTGATGTCTCAACTGTCAAATTTGGTAAGTCAGTTAAAAAAAATTTACTTTTATGTTATTTTAGTTTCGATAAGAAGTTGAGAAGGTATTAATTTTATCATGATGTGTTTATTTTTTTATTTTTTTTTTTGTGTGTGTGTCTGTCACTACTTTTTCTCAGCTCTCACTGGACTGATTTTTTTCAACGATATATCAAAAGATTGCAATCGTATGTAATTGAAAATATTACTCTCAAAAATTGAAAATTTTTCCCACGTTCCTCGTAAATGGTGGAATCCCCCAAAAAATTACAATTTTTAAAATTGGTAAATTTCGACATTTTTTTACTTTTTTTTTTAAATTTCTATAACTTATTGAAAATAAATGAATTAAAATAATTTTTTTTTTATTTTGAAACCTTAAATAATTCTTCATTTTTTAATTTTTACATCATAGTATAATCTCTAATTTCTCAAATTTGTATTTTTGTTTTAACTCTTCCTTTTCCTTCATATTTTATGATACTGCATGATTTATTATGCTAAAATTCATAATTGAGGTACTTTTTTATACTTATATGGAAAAGATCAGAAAATAGTCAATTCAATTAATTAAATTTAACATATTGATGAAATAATCTTTTAGTTTTTGAAAAATGAAACTATGCACTAATCATTGAAAAATAAATCATTTAAAAATTTTTCATTTAAACCTGTATTGTGTTCAACTTAAAGTATATAGAGAAATATGTACTACAAAACTAAATACTTTTGAATTAGTTATTTAAACTTCTTTTCAAGATCAAATAAAACTTTTCCGTTTGTTCTTATTTAAAAATTAAGATAGTTTCCACTCTTTTAATTTTCATTCTACTCAATATTTTATTTTTATTGGCTTCGATACTAACTGATAAGATGTTGATTTTACTCTACTGTGATTTTTATGTTATTAATCCAAACTAATCAACTTCTACTGAACTGATTATGCTTAACAATACGCAAAAAGATCACAATGATATCTAGTTAGAGCTAACAGTGTGAAAATTTGAAAATATTCCTTTCAACTCTCATTATAAAGAGAAATGTCCCCAAAAATTAAAATTGTTAAAATACGTACAATCAATATTGATATTTTTAGTTTTCATTTTATATTGAATTAACTTTTTGAAGTATGGATAATCTATCCATACTTCAATCAATTTCGCAATAATCTATTGCGAAATTTTTATTCATAATAATTAAAAAAATTTACCTTGCTGATGAAATAATTTACTTTTTTTAATCCAGTCATTCACTAATATATTGGGAGAACTTCAACATCATCATATTAGTTATTTTTGATTAATTTAAAAATATTTGACTCTTTTAAAAGTTAAATCGAATTAAAATTTAAACAAGTTACTTTATGTTGGAAACAAATAACAGTTTGACAAATTGTTTTTTGTCAGTAATCGGGCATTTAATTTCAAATTTATAATTTATAAAATTCATTCTTGCAATAGTGTATTTTCAAGTACATACGTATCGAAGTATTTTATTATAGTGATTTTAATAATTGTCAGATATCAATCAATACTTATTTTAAAAGTGTCTCATCTAATTTGTGTATTAGAAAACACTTAAACTTATTTTGTATTATTTTTCTACTTTAAAAAATAAACAATTAAATTTAAAATAAAATACTTTATTAAGTAATTATAAAATGTTAATTAAAAATTTCTCTATACTCAAATTAAAGTAAATTTTAAAAATTGAGAACTTTTAAGTATAAATTAAACTTTATTATAAAAAAAAATTTTATGTTGGAAGCAAGTTGACGACATTGTGTTGGCGTTAGTCCTTATAACCCACTGTCTTGAGATCAATTCCCATTCGTTTCAAAACTTATCGTACTATATCTACAAACTGCTCTAAAAAATAATAACAGTAATAAAATATAATACTTTTAAATCTATACATTAAAAACTATAAAAAAAAACTTACATGTATTTAAATTTTTACACAGGCATAAGAACATGTAAAACATGTTCTAATTATAAATAAAAATTATTTTTTTATATGAATAACACGTGTTGTTAATGAATCAAAATACATAAAATAGTAGTGTTACTAATGTATGTATTGTTTCATGAGACTTTTCATCAATTTTAGCATGGGAATGACATCGACTTAAAACCGTCAAACTCAAGACAAGCTCACAGACAAAGTTTTGCTGTTCATTGTGGAGACTCTTCCGGAGAGCTTCTGTTTTTAGAAGTAAGAGACGATGGTCTAGTTTTACGATCAGTGTCAGGGGTTATAATAAGCCGTTGGTGGTATGAACGCATAGTAAACATGACCTACAGCCCGAGAAGCAAAATATTTTGTTTATGGCGGACAGCTAATGGTGGACATTTACAGCTGAACAAATATTATACAAAAAAAGTAATAAGTTATTGATAAAAAGTAATTGTTTTAGTTAACACCTTAGGATATTACATTTTGTATAAAATTATTTTTAATTGCCGATTAATAAATTCCTGTATCACAACATTTTAATTGACTGATGATCTTCAAAAGAAATTAGTCAAAAGTATCTAAAAGTGAATATGACTAAAAATGTGTTTATGAGAGTTTTATATGAATAATGCAATAAAAAATGTTGATTTTAGTGTTAAAAAATTCAAATATTTCCAGTTCAGGTTTTCATTGAAATTTATTTGTGTTAATGTATTATGACAGATTTTTTTAGCAATATAAACAAAAAAGTGATGAATTCTTATTAGAATTAAAGAATTTTTAGCTTAAATTAAAGCTTAAAATGGATATGGGTTTAAATAACGCAATTTCAAAAATTAAAAATAAAATAAAAATATGTTTCTAATTATTGCAAATATTTTTACATTGGTGGCCGATTATTTATAGTAAAACAAATGTCAATTTTGGATTTTTTTTAATATTGTAGTTCACATTAAAAACTATAATTTGATATTATTCAAATTGTCAAACGTTCCAGAAAATATTTAAAAATTCAAATTAAAATAATTTTTAAGTATACATAAGTGGTCTCTTTCATAATCATCGTTTTCATGGGATATTTTTTTGGAATTTGTTTAAAAAACTTACCAAATAAAAGTCCATTGTCTTTAAGATACTTTATTAAAACTTTATTTGGATCAGAATTTTTTTGATTCCAGTAAACGAGTAAATACACCAAAAATTAAGAATTTCAAAATCTGCAAATTTTGACGATTGACGCTACACTTATACTCCCTTATGTATGTTAGTTTCTTATCCTATCTTCTCTAGTCACTCCACTAATTCATTTAAGCATTCTCATCTCTGCTACAGTCATTCTCTGTTCTACTTTCTAGTCAAATGCCCAACACTCTGAACCATACATCATAGCTGGCCTTATTACAGTCTTGTAGAATTTACCTTACTGTCTCATTTAAATTTTCATATCGTATAACACACCAGACGCTTCTCTCCACTTAAACCACCCGCACATAATTCTGTGTCTTACATCCTCGTCAATAGTACCGCTCATTTGCACAACTGATCTTAAACCTTTAATGCGAAGTTGAGAAGGTATTTTAATTTTACCGTGATGCGTTTTTTTTTTATGTCTGTTGCCACTTTTTCTCAGCTCTCACTCGACCGATTTTTTTCAACAATACGTCAAAAGATCAAAAATCGTATCTAGTTGAAGACATTAACCTTANTGTCTGTTGCCACTTTCTCAGCTCTCACTCGACCGATTTTTTTCAACAATACGTCAAAAGATCAAAAATCGTATCTAGTTGAAGACATTAACCTTAAAAATTGAAAAAAATTTCCCTTGTTCCCCGCAAATGGGGGAAATCTCCAAAAAATTTACAAATTTAACACTTAACCTGCTCACTGAGGGGGATTTAAAATAGCAACTTTTTTACAAAAACTAACTTTTTCAACTTGATTTTTAAAAATGTTTCGGAAATACTGCGTCCTTTAAACATATATCAAATTAAAACTTATTTTATGTACTATAAAATGAAAAAAAAAATTTGTCCCGACACTTTATCTTTTGCATGCAAACGGCTGCCGTAATTAAAAAAACGCTATTTTTTTGTTAAATTTTTCAATTTTAAATTTTAAACTTATAAATGCTATAACTTTTCGAATAATATATGTATCAGCACAAAATTTTTTTTTCTATATACATGATAAGTAGATCTTTCATTTGGCATACTTTTTATTAAAATTGGACAATTTCCCCTTATATAGGAGATGTTCAAAACTTGAAACATTGTATAAAAAATAGAACCTATTCAACTTAAATTTTGAAAATGTTCAAATCAAAGGTTATGTGCATATACTATAAAATGAAAAAAAATTGTTCCGACACCTTATCTTCTATGCGCAAATGGTACCGTATTCAAAAATATGCTATTTTTGTATTAATATTCTGGGTTTTGTATTTTATTTTATTTTAAAATATCTTATTAGGGGAATACACTGACTATCATGAATATTATATAATTTAATTTACATAGAATAAAGTTCATAAGACATAAGAAATTAAACTTATATAAAATTTTTTGCTCTTTTAAAGTCGAAAAAGTAACTTTTAAATTTAACATAGCTTAAATTGCTAATTTTATCATGCGACGAAAGCGACGAACAGTTACCGAATCGGTAACACTTGTGTCTTTCATGCTAAGGGTACGAGGTTCGCATCCACCTATGGCAATTAATATTTTGCATTTTTTTTTTGAGTTAGAAAAAAATTTTCAAATCATTTGATTTTTATCTCATTAAGATTCAATAAATATCAAGGATCCCATCACTATAGTCTCCCCTCGTAAGAAGAAATTTTTTATTCATGTTAATATTATTTTACTATGTGTTTTTTAGAGGCCGCAATTTATTTTTCCAACCCTCACTTAACCTACTTTTTTCAACGATACGTCAAATGATTACAATTCGTATTTAGTTGAATATATTACTCTCAAAAATTGAAAAAAATCCCTTAATCAAATAACAAGTAGCTTAACCAGCTTTATCCATACAAACAATTAAAATCATTCATTTCTAATATTTTTAAAGTATTTATTGTCGAATTAGATATGATATTATATAATTTTACTTTGAAATTTATTAATTTTTTTACTCTATTTGTGTGTGCTACTACCAGTCTATAACTTTCCAATGTTTTTCGTAACATGCTGCTATATAAATCATAAAAAAAATAAATGATTTTTAGTTTCTCCTGAATTTAACAATTTATGAAATAAAAAATTTACTGTCGATAGTAATTATAAAATTTCCTGATTGCATATTAATCTTAACAATACCATTTTTTCTATTTAACGATGTCAATTTCAAACTTGCAAATTGAGCTAAAAGTTATGGTTATAAATTCATTTTTTTTTTTTTATCATAAACTTTCACTTTAAAGGACAAAAAAATGTAGGTTAAAAATTATTACTTTTAACATATTAAAAATCAAAAATAATTTGAAAACAATTAATTATAAAAATTATATAATGTATAAGTAAAAGAATTACTAATCTGGATATATTTAAAGAAATAGAAGTTGATGTTGCTTTTGGAATAATCCACCAATTTTTTTAAATTAAACACTATCTACAGATTTGCATTTTTTATGATAGTGACTTTAATCACTGTTAGATTAAATCTATACTGGACCCAACTATGCCACGTCTCCACTGTGCCGCGACACCATTGTGCTGGGTTTTTTAACATGATTTCAATCGTAAACGCGCGTTGTTTATTACTCCACTGTTCCATTATTACTAAACTGCAAGTTAATTATAAACGAATAATATTTATCAAATGTTTTTATCTAAAATTATTATTAAGAAAAGAATTTTTTTAATTCAGCCGCGAAATGCCCCAAATTTATTGATTAAATAGTAAATAGTTTCGTGCAATTCATAGTACTGAATGTGTTTGAGCAACTTGTTATTTAAATAATAAAAATAAAATTGCGCTTACATATTATTATTACAAAAAATTAAGAAATAGGTATTACATTAAATTTAAATTACATAATATACAATACATTTTAATAATTTTAAGTCGGACTCTTCATTATCTTGGATTGGTAATGGACATAATAATCTCACGGCTCTCTTTCTTAACCTACTTGCTGTCTTGACTGTCGAGACACGCACTACACCGTCATTGCCCGAAAATGTTTCACTCACGCGGTCCAACTGCCATTGCAAGGGAGGCAAATTTGGATCTTTTATTAAAACCATTGAGCCAATTTTTAATGTGGAACTATTCGGTTTATTCCATTTGGAACGCTCCTGAAGCTGACTTAGGTATTCCACGCTCCAACGTTTCAAAATTTGTTGCGTAATATGTTGTACTCTTTGCCACCGTGATAACAAATTACTGTTTAAATTATATATTTCGGGTACCAGCAACGAATCTCAATCTGCACCAACAGTGTGTAGAACTCATCATATGTTAATTTTACGGATGATACAGTGCGATTTAAATGTTTTTTAATGTTGTGAACTGCCACCTCCCATAATCCGCCGAAATGTGGTGCTCGTGGAGGAATAAAGTGCCATACTATTTCGTTGCTAGTCATAAATTGATGAATACGATCTTTGTGATCTTCAATCGACATTAACTGTTTTAAATCTTAAAATTTATTGTTTGCACCTACAAAACAAGTAGTGTTATCTGAATATACGTTTTTACAAAGACCACGGCGAGATATGAATCGCTTTAGAGTTGCAATAAATGTATCCGTGCTTAAATCACATACGAGCTCTAAATGCACCGCCTTTGTGGCGAAACACACAAACACGCATATATATGACTTTTGAGTCGCGGAATTTCGTCTATTGTTACATTTTAACTGAAACGGACCCGCATAATCTATTCCACAGTTTTCAAAACATCTACTTGGCTGGTCAACTCTGAATTTTGGTAAATTACTCATTAAAGGTGATATATTTTTTGGTCGTGCCTTGAAACATTTTACGCATTGATATATAACTTTTCGCACGCACCTTCGACCATTGAATGGCCAGTATTTTAATCGCACCGTGGCAAGTGTAGCATGTGGCCCTGCATGCATCAGTCTCTCGTGTTCGCGTAACATGATCAATTTTGAAAAATTTGTTTCATTGGGTATTATAATCGGAAATCGTTGATCAGTATCAATAATTGTCGCGTTGTTTAATCTACCACCCACGCGCACGATTCCATCGTCGTCTATGAACGGATTTAATTTATATATTTTACTGTTACCCGACACAATACATTTATTCTTTAAATCTTTAATTTCTGAAGAAAAATAAATACTTTGTAATAATTTGATTAGTAATTTAATTCCTTTTGATATTTCGTCTACGCTTAACGGCCCGATAATTTTTTGGATATTAATACGTTTCGATAATGAATTATTTTTGTATCGTAAT